CCGAGATAAACCAATATACATATTTGTTGTCATTACTTGTTAATATATGCGCTGCTACAAACGTAAAATTCCTATGGTGAAATCTAACAATTTCAAAAGCACACTGATTATATATAACTGCCAATACAGTATCGCGTTTACATTCGTGAAGTAGAAGTTCCAACAACGAAAGCTCATCTTAAAATATCATGAATATATTTATAGAAAAACACAAGAGACATTATGGGCTGGGGAAATTTATTAAAACCGAGGTGCCTGGTGAGGACTAATAATATTTCAGAATCTTTAGATTTTAAGTTTTGATTAATTTGTTTTCTACGTATTATCAACCCATACTAGGTTATTAAAATCCAGAAAATATTTTTAGATTGTAATTTGTTTTTTAGATGATAATAATCTAGTGATACAAGTAGTCGTAATTAACATATACCTAGGCGGGTGTAGATTCATGGCTTTCTCAAGGTTATTTTTGCGTAAGTGAATATCACGAACACAAATGGAGATCGAACTCGGCAATACCGTTTAAATTTTCAAGATACGTAGCAAAAACACCAGAACATATGAAGTAACATTAGTCAATTCATTGAAGAATATTAGACATAAAAAGATTCATGTATATTACCTTCTCTTTGCCTCGGAATAATCCTATTTTAAAATGGCTGTCGCTCGATTAAAAAACAAAAAGGCGACGTCTGTCAAATAATATATATTTGTAGAAGGGAAACTAATGCAAAACATTCAGACGTGATTAATGAATGTTTATGAAAACGATGCTTGTTATGTAAGCACGTTAAGAATATACGCTATTTGTATCAATAGCAATTGTAGAGAGAAAAAGTAAACTGAACTTAGTGATAGGCACTGAAGTGGCAGACCGGCTGTGAATGAAAATAAATGCAAATAGGGTGATGCACTTTACAGTTAGTAAAAATCACTTTAATAAAATTTTGTTAATGCCTTCAAGTGAACCATGTGTGTGCCTTCAGTTTAATGTAGTATGCTACTTACGCAAAGCCATGCAAAAATAGAGGAATAGGGAGTAGATGATTTCATAGAACATTTGGGGCTGCACACACAAGATAACGTACAGAGGAAATGCACCCATATGAAAATTAATTGAACACAGCGAATAATAATTTCGTATTTTTTTTCTAATGAAACAAGAACTAGTGCATTTCGTATGTCCATTCCATGAAGTATTTCCTTGCAGATTGACCACAGATTCTCAACTGAATTTAAATCAGAAGACTTTCTGGGCAAATGTTCTTACTTTGATTTGCTCACCGGTAAAGCTAGACAGTGTGGTCGTGCAGCGTTACACTTTTCGTAATCTTCCTTGGAGTAACGGCCATCGCAGGCAATGGCCGTAGGACAACTAATCAACCATCGAGAGAATAGTGTCTGGGCATGATAAAAATCTGATGCAATCACGGATGACGCAATATTTTTCAAAGCCAAACAAATTTCATCATACACCCCGAAATAGATTCATATTATTGAACACCACTGCAAAATATCTAATCTGAGAAAAAAATAGAAATCGATTTAACCCTGTCACCCCCAATAGGTCTAAAACTGACCGTATGTTGAAAGAAAGGAATCTAAAGAGGTTGTTTCAATTAATTTGAAAAAAGATGTAATTTCCCCAATGATAAAAAAATAAATGAAACTACTTGCAATTGACTATGTATGAAGCAGATAATAAACTTAGAACGAGGACACTATTTACATTATTTGGACTAATGTCCTCATCATTGTCGCCATATTTATTACAACGTTTCAGCCGTTGTACGCTCCGGCATTCTTCCTGTAGTTGGAATGTCGAACTGAGCCCTTTATTTCGCTCACTGGGGTAGACTGTTCTAGTTCCACGGTGGAAGCTTAATGGCTCTCAGTTGTCAGTTATCTTCTGTTAATTCCCCTCCGAAAGTTCCCCACTGCTTTAACCGGGTATTGAACTCACACTCTTTGAGTCCTGTCACTGGAACTTACTAACGCCTTTATCCACTCTGCCATGTGTCCTTGAGAACAAGCGTATGAATTTCTAGGTATTATATACCTAATGTATTCAAAAACCATTTTTACCAGTGCTTATTTTTCAATTTTTGCTGTTATCTGTATTGTTTTACCAGAGCTCATATTGCATTTTTTTTTTTAATTATTATCGCTTTTCTCTGGCACTCCTTATTACGAGGGAGTTGTGGTGGCTACGAGATTTATATGTCTTAGATTGTTATTTTGTTTTGCAAGGCTTTTGTATTTCTAATACTAAATGTAATGGAATTAAAAAAAAAATTCTTTGTGACAAGCTTTCGCAATTATTATTTAATATAACATGATTACTTCAAATTCCCTCTCCTTTTAAAAATAAGAGAATTTAACAATGTCAACCATCATCGACTTTAGTTGATAAATGTCGACTGGCATGGCGATTGAGAGGTTTTAGATTTGGCTCTGAATATTGGAGTTGCACTTAGCAGTTCTATCAATGGACAAACATAATCACACTTGCCTTAAACATCGATCCATACTTTCCCTGCCAATATTGTTAACATCAAAGGACACTTCATAACGACATTCCAAGTACTTATTAAGTAGAAATTACAAAGGTTGAGTATTCCTCTTGAGGAAAACATTGTCCTTCACTCTTAACGTCTTTTAGAATCTACAGTTCTTCAACTCAACCACGACGGGAATCTTTAAATAACTACATTCACTGAAGGCAATGTTACTGAAATAACCTATGGCATGTCACCTGATGATAAGATGCTTGCAGCCTTTGATATATGTTCAAAATACATACACATACATCTCTCTCCCAATAAACCCATATATATATATATATATATATATATATATATATATATATATATATATATATATATATATATGTATGTATATATATATATATATATATATATGTATATATATATATATATATATATATATATGTATGTATATATATATATATGTATGTATATATATATATATATATATATATATATATATATATATATATATATATATATATATATATATATATATATATAATGGAAGACCTTGAAAAGAATTAAATCTTTCTAGAATATTCTATTTAAAGTTATTTTAAATTTGCTAAAGGAACTTAGTCCAATCGAACTGCCCTTGAGCAGACCTGACTTCAAATATGAAACTGAAAGATTACAAAGAAGACATGAAGCCATTGCAATCTTAAAAGAAAAGCTGCCCAAAAGTGTTTCGATAAGGAAATATTTTATATGGACACCCACATAATATACAAAAATATAATAATGAAAAAATTATACGACAATCCATTTAATTGTAACAGATGAAATTAAAAACATAGATGAGAAATTGCGATAAAAATATTGATGTAAACAATTTTGGCCCATATAAGAATCAAACGTGCATTTGATCAAAATGAAATATAGTTATAAAAGTACCCTACGAGTCATTACAATGTTCAAATTTAAATCTAATTTATATCAAAGGGAAGAAATATTTCAGTGTGAGGGTTGTGCCGTTTCTTTGATCAAAATAATCTAACCGATATGACCTCTATCGTCTGGATTTATCCTTCTATATTTTATTTCGGAGTAATTCCCATGTTCAAATTTAAATTTAATTTAAATCAAAGGCAAACAAAAGTGGAGCGTTGGTGCCCTAATTTGATCAAAATGAAATATACTTATCCAAGTACACTTGTTTAAAATTAAATTTAATTTAGATCAAAGGAGAAAAAAATTCAGTGGTTGTTTGTGCCCCTCTGGGACCCCCACCTCTGCTCAAAAGGAAATATACTTATTCAAGTACTCTGGATAATATAGTTTCTATATATCTTTTTTGAGCGTCATTGGGGCGTGATCAAGTGGATAGAACGTTCGCTTTCTGACCATGCGACCTGGGTCGATTTGTCAGGAAGGAGACTGGATAACATTTGGAAAATGCCTGGAAACAATACCACAGTTTGGACCTAGCCTTGTGAGTAGAATTGGGTAGACGGAACAATTTGGGCCGTCGATAGATGTGCTAGCACGAAGTCACAAGTCATCGTGACTGAGGTTTTGAGCGTGCTGGTGTTGTTCAGATTTTTGATCATTCTAGATAACACGCTCTCTCCCTGAAACTGTAACTATGGTCTGCTCTGCATAGTTGCAGTATAAACCACAGGTTAGCTGTGGGTGTTGAACAAACACAAATGTACCTGAGCGAGTGTCTGAAATAGGGATTTGTTAGCTGCCCTAGTAGACGGTTATCATCGAATACGAGTGGCCAGCTATTATTATACTTATGAGGGTCTATCTCCAAAACCCTAGGAGGAGTTTGATCACAAACAAACAGACAGAGACTATAACTTTATATAGAGAGATTTCCGGCGAAACTATCTACATCTTTGTCATTATCTAAACGTTTTGGTTGTTATACCCTCATGGCATCTTCCCATATCTGTCGACCCGAGTAAACGTCTGGAAACTTTGAACTGAACATTTTATTTTATCTGTGGGTTTCGAATATTCTTGTTCCTTTGTCTACGTCCAGGATAATCTTGTATTTTACTTTTCTACATAGATTAAAAAACTTAAAGGACTCATGTGGAAACAGTACTAGCAAGGACTACGAAATGATATAAATAATGAAACCTTCTTTCCTTAGAAAAGTCACACAGAAAAGATCTGCCAGTATCTCTATCTATTATATCACATTATGTGTAGTCAGGCAAGTGCGTTAATATCTGTTGTGATTATAAAATAATATCGGCCGTTGTCCGCTCAGGGCTTCTTCTGGCCAATCGATCCGTGTAACCTGCAGTGAATTTTTGAACTTAACGTTTACTTCGGCGGAAGAATTTTTTTATTCAGGCTGCTGTCCGTGTCTAAGAAAATCTAATTGTATTTTTCCTTTCAAAGACGTAGCTTCAGTGGAAACTGGACTAGCAAGAACTAGCAGTAATAAACTGTAAAAAAAAAATACAAAGAATGATACATGATTATTTCTAAAAGTCGCATAGCATCTATCTATCTATCTATCTATCTATCTATCTATCTATCTATCTATCTATCTATCTGTTTGTCTCTCTGTTTTTTCCAGTCGGTTTATATCTATCTATCTATCTATCTATCTATCTATCTATCTATCTATCTATCTATCTATCCCTCTGTTCATATCTATCTATCTATCTATCTATCTATATATATATATATATATATATATATATATATATATATATATATATATATATATTTCAGTCGGTTTATATCTATCTATCTATCTATCTATCTATCTATCTATCTATCTATCTATCTATCCCACTCTGTTCATATCTATCTATCTATCTATCTATCTATCTATCTATCTTGTTTCTTCATATACCTCTCAGGGTTTCTTCAGTTATATGTCCGTATAAACTTCATGAAATTTCGAACTAAAAGTTTTATTACCTCCACGAGTTTAGCTTATTTCCTTCCGCTCTCCATGACATGGGATATTTCAACTTTTCCTTTTTATAGTACAGCTCGCACAGAGACGACGTATGTACTAAACCTCGTGACTTGATCTCACAATTACTATGCTCACACTGCCTGGTGAATTAAACTGTTGAATATGATGGCATATTAATCCATTTCATATCCGTCCAGTTATTGGTTAAATAGCCGTACTGACTGAGTAGCAGCCAGTGAAGATGGACAACTCTGAATACAAAACCGTTAAGAAAAAAGCGGGAAGGCAGTCGATTATCTTTCCCAAGACGCCGTGTCAATTTACAGATAATGAAGAAAAGGAATTTCTATAGACTCCTCACTGTCTACGTTCTGAATGATCATAGATTTTGTTTTTAAATCATGGATAATTTCATTTCTTTTTCCCATTCAGCTTTCTGATATTTTTTTGCTTGGATAGTTCTATTATTTTAGTTGCTGAGTTATTTTTCTCTGTGATTCACGAGCTTTTTACATGTATTTTTTTCTGTAATTCTTTCCGAGCTCCTTGCTGAAGATCATAATGCTAGCACCGATGTCTACAATTGCTTTTTTTTTTGGCTTTTTAAAAAATATTTAAGTCATTAATATTTTCTATTGTTCTTTGAACAAATTCATTTCGTCTTCTTAATCTTACTACTTTTGGCAATTATTTTATTTTCATGAATTACGTAACAAATATGTGGTCACATAGCCAGCGAAATGTTTGTGGACATTATAAAGCGGATGCCAAAAACATCATGAATCTGCCGCTAAATTCCACACACAAAAAGTTAAATGGCCAGACAGGTATAACGATTTGGAATTATTAAAAAATAAATATATATCTCAAAGAACCTCTGTAAATAATTTTATTTCATTTTCAAATAAACCATTTTCGTGCAGAGTGAGATGATTCCTTCAAAATCTTGATGAGATAGAAATTCACTTCAGACTGTACACTAAGTTTTCCTTGCGGCTTTCACTAGTTCTCCTCTGGTTCGCTTTGTAGAAGATACTTGCACTTGTTCCTTTGCTACTCGTTGCCCTTTCTCTCTTTGCCGATACGTTTTATGCTTCCTGCCTCCTGCTTTATCTTCTCTCAATATTTGATTGATAATGCATTGCTTTTCTGGCTTTATCTCTTTTTCATTTGCTTTCCGTCTTACCATTCACTTTTTTGGATCCTGTCGCTCTCCCCTCTCCTTTGCATCCCTAACAAACTACGACTTATTTCCTTTGACTCCTTACCACCCGCTTTCTCTCCACTTGCTTTCATCTCTCTTATACATCCCCCAAACACCACTCATCATTCCCTTTCTCTTTTCAGTGTTGTCTTTTTTGTTCTCCCTCTTTCTCTTTTAATTGTTTATATCTCTCCTTTTAAATTTCTCTCTTTTGAAAACTCTTCTCTTTTTATTCCTATCCTTCTTCTTTTATTCTCTCTTTTCATTTGTACTCCCACATCTCTACTTCTCACCATCGCATTCCCTTTCTCGCTATACAAATCTCTTTATACTTACTATCGCCATCTTCTATTATCTCTCTTTCCCTCAAGCTTTCGTTTTCCCCCTGTCACTATCTGTCGCTCCTTCGTGCTCTCACATTCTCCATCGATAAATTATATATATATATATATATATATATATATATATATATTGCCTCTTTAAATCTCCTTTTCTCCCTTTTATATATATATATATATATTTCCTTCCGAGTTACTTGCTTTGATGCCCGCCTCTTGTTTCCCTAGCTATGTTCTACTTCCATTTTCGCATTGATTCTATTATTCCATCTTTTTTTTTTATCCCTGGTACCTTATTTACCTCTCTGTAGATCTTTTGTTCACTTCTCACATTGTAACTTTCTGTTGCCGCACCAATTTTCTCCTCTCCCTACTTCTTTTACCTCCTTCTCTTCTTGCCTTCTCCATTCTCTCCCAAGAACTCTCTTCATTTCTTTTCTTTGATTCCCTTCTCAGTCCCTCTACTTTTCTCTCTTTCGTGCTCTTGCTCCAAATGCCGTTTGTCTACTCTTCCTGCTGCTCAACATCTCTAACCCCCTTTCTTTTAGGGAGTAAATATATTTGCCTTGCTATATTTTTATTTCTTAACATTCAAACAAAATTTGCACATGATATTTTAAATCATATTTACGCCATTTTTATGATTCGATTTTTTTTTTTGCCATAGGATTTCGTTTTTTTCTTTTCACTTGAAGATTTGTTTAGAGTTTATTTTATTTCATATTTTCTTGCACGCTTTTTAATCATCCTATTTAAAAGGTTGAAACTGGTTCTATATTTATGATTTATTTTTTCCTCTTAATTTTTTTGTTGAAGTTTTATTTTTTCCCGCAAGATGTCTCACCGGAAAAATTCAAATATATCATCACGCAAGCTTTTAACCGACAATGTAAATACGCACGATTTTTAAGCGCCCACTTTCATAAACACGTCTACTTTTTAGTTTATTGTGGTGAAACTGATATTTAATAAACCTCCTAAATGTATCTGTCTGTCTGTTTAAAAAGAATCCAAACTTCTCGCTCCTACTGAGTATGGCATAGCAACATAATAAATAAAATAAAATAAAAATTAAACGTGTAAAAAAAAACCAGTATTTCAGGTTAGAAGCTGACTCTTTAAATGACAGGGAGACACAGGTTTACAAAAGAAAAGTGTTCTGCCTCTACTTTCACTTTTGATGAGAATGAAACGATAAAAAATATCAAATCATCTCAGAACAGCTTTATAGTAAAGTTAATTCTCTGTTGTACTTTTCAGCCTTTGCTTGGTTTATTTATTTCGATTCTTTCAAAGATTATTTCTATTTGAAATTTATAGCAGTTTACCCGTTGGAGGAATACATCAATGTTTGTAGCCAAAAAAAAAAAAAATTGAAGTTAGTGATTCTTGAGGAAATTTGTCACTGAAAAGTTCCTGCGCAGTACCCACGACTTAACAGTTTAGGTATTATTTTGATCCGGGGAAATTTTCAGGAATTATCTAATACTTACGCATCTTACTTTCTGGTATCTTAAAGCCTGTATTTGATGTTTAATACACACACACACACACACACACACACACACACACACACACACACACATATATATATATATATATAGAGAGAGAGAGAGAGAAAGAAAGAATAGTTCTAAGGTGTGCTATATTTATGGAATAAAGTGCTCAATATCAGAGATAGAACGTATGTACAATTTCTCCTTCAGCATACCCTAGAATAAGAAGTCAATTCTTTCTTCTTTCGATAAAGCCATAATTAATCTGTGGAGGTAAAAATATACGTAATGAGATTTCTTGGTTTCAGACCTCCCCTGTATATACAATGCAATTTGGAAATTATCATATTTTCATGATAATTGTAAACTAGTATAATAATACGAATTATTATTTCTAGAAGCTTCCATTATGAACATTATATGTTAAACTGATCTTTGAAAATTTAAACTTTTTTTTTACAATTGAATTCATTTTTATTATATAACAATTTTTTAACTGTTCTATAAAAATGAAGCAGGAGGTATGATGGAGTAATGCATAGCGATTCGGATTGAGGAATCGGAGAGTCGAGTTCGAATTCCAGTCGAATCCATTACTTACGTGCTAATACTCTTGAGGAAGGTATGAATCATCGGTAAATGGATCAATAGCAGTACACCGGTTTCTACAGCCTTGGATGGCAACTGGTCTACATACTGCGGGAAGAAAAATCTGCCTCTTCAGTCATGTATCGAAAGGTACTTGATCGCCTAAGCGTGTATCACGCATGGCATATAACTGACTGATGAATATGACCTTATATAATTATTCATAAAAATAACAACATCCTCTACCGATTCTCCGATAGAATAGGACTTAATCTAAACCTTTTCAAAAGAGCAACCATGATCCGGAAATTGGAATGAAAGCAGTGATAGAACTTTTACCCTGAATCCATCATAAGAATTCTGCATATGAAATTAATAAATACTATACTTTATATACTTCTCAATAAAGATATTTCATTAAATCATTTCACCACAAGCAAGGCGGAAATGCCATTAGTACGCAGCGGGTTACAGAGAGAGAGAGAGAGAAAATGAGAGAAAAAACCTGAGTTGTGAGAGGTTTGAAGAAAGGACAAAAGATGAACGGGATTCAAGAAGATAGAAGATTGCGACTGGGGTTGTAGTTATCAGGAAAGCAAATAAACGGAACGGAGTTCCACAGGTGGGATGTGCGAGAAAAGATTCTCTTGCCGGTTGCGTTTAACTATCTCGACAGTAGACGGGTTGGACCGAGATGCCAATCTATTAGCAGGCTTAAATTCGTCTAGTCTGGACCAGGAAAAAAAGGTTCGTCAGTGTACTTGATATGAGAATATTCGTAGAAAAAAACAAAGAAGCCACGTTTAGAAAGTAACTGAAGGCGAGATGCCAAGTCAGGATCAATTACGTTAGAAATCCTTCGTTGGATTTTGTCAAGAACCTCGAGATTAATTGTAGGCGAATCAGGCTAGATATGGTAGCAGTATTCAATACATAGCTGTTGGTAAATTGCAGTGGCGTAGCTGGGGAGGGGGCGGACCGCCCCGAGTGCCAGCACAGGAGGGGTGAGATAATGTCACCCCCAACAAAATTTTTCAACCAGGCTAAGGTGCCAAAATAGTCTGAAAACAGTGGTGGAGACACAGGGTTTCGCCGGCTGGCATATAAACACCTCAGAAATAATTTATGACCCCCAGTTTTGCCCCCCGTCAGAAATTTTCTAATAAATTGTCAGGGAAATTTGTGAGTAGGAAAAAAAAGCAATGTTTTCATTTTTTTTTTTGATTTGAACTGATTTTTTTGTTGTATTGGATTTTGTATTGGAACATACATGTAAACAGTAACGTACCGGTCATTAGAGTCAAGTAGAGGTAGAGCATGTATGAAAATTTAGCTACAGCTAACCATTCAGCATAGGATGAATCGGGGTCATTGGGGTGACATTTCAGCGAATTGCCCCGGGTGACGTTTACTTTAGCTACGCCACTGGTAATTTGTAAATGTGCAAGATGATCTCTGACGTGAAAAACCTTCTGGCGCGACACAGTGACACAATTTTCCTTGCAGTAGATACAGCTATTGGTTCGATGTAGTCGTTTCACTTCGAGTCCATTGAAAACGTGAGGCCACAAGAAGGTATAGTGGGTTTATTATAAGTGTAGTACAGGAGATAATGAAATTAATTGAGATTAATCAATATTAACTTTTGTGTCTTGCTCTGTTCATGATAATTGAGATTACTTTTGTTTTTTAATTTTCCAATTCTTCCGTTTTATTTGACATTTCAGAGTTATAAGAAGCGTGATGCCTTCATTGTCACCCAGATGACTTTACCAAACACCGTGGTCGACTTCTGGAGACTTGTCTATGATCATAACTCATCCTCAATCGTTATGCTTAACGGAATAGACGAAAATGATGAGGTAAGATATACTTTTTACCATCTTCACTTCATCGCAGGTTACATTCTATGCATTGAACTAATAAATTCCTTCTATTAGCATTTTGTCCTTCATTGCTTTTATGCATTATTCTTTTATTTTACATTTAACTCTTTCTATTCTCATACATAAGGAAAGGCAGGTAACCTAAATGTTACCATTTGACAAGCGTGGTGCAAAAGTACCGGGTTCAACGTCATTCTAATCTTCTTTAATCATTTCATCCTAAACAAGGCAATAAATTCACTAAGATGCAAGAGGTTACTGAGTGTTAAAGAATATAAGAAAAAAAAAACAATATAAATGAGAGAGAACTATAAAAGAACAAGGTTTAAGAAAACAGAAGAAAATGATTGACATTGCAATTAAATTAAAGTTGACTGGAATGCAAGAAACCGGAAGAGAGTTCCACAGGCGAGATGTGCGAGAAAATAAACTAGTATCATAGAATATATGGTTATATCTATCTATTTCAACTTTAAAATGATGAGAACTGGCCGCCAATAGTCAGCCAGTTATGTACCATGCGTGACACACGCATAAGCGATGATGTACCTTTAAGTACATGACTGACGAGGCAGATTTCTCTTCCCGCAGTAGGTTGCCATTTCTTTGTGTGGTACACCAGTTGCCATCCAAGGCTATAGAATTCGGTCAGTCGTTCGATTTACCTATAGCTGGGGGTGGGGCGAAGAAGCGGATTCATACTTTTCCCAAGGGTATTAGCACGTAAGTGAATGTGATGGATTCGACTGGAATTCGAACTCGGCTCTCAGATTCCTCAATCCACTATCCATTACTCCACCGTGTTACGCTTAAATTAAAAAGTCTAAGCACCATAGAGAAAGGCGGTGAAAAAGTGGCTAAAGTCAAAATGCCATCTCCATACCAATAACATTGCAGATTTCTCTTTGGATCTTATCAAGAATCCTCTAAATATATAGCAGGGCCACCGGACTAGATGTGGAAACGATATTAAATCAAGGACGAGTAAGTATGTTCAGTTTTATTTCCAAGATTTACAAATCTATTAATGATTTCTAACATGTTTAGTTATACTTAATATAATTTGGCGCAAAGTAGCAAATTCTTTCCCTTGTTTTTTTTTTCTTTGTATATTTACTACTTTATTTAAATACGAGATAGAATTAGAGTGGGTTTCACTCTCTACGGTCGTACTTCTCTTTTACACGCGAACGCTCAATAATGAAGAGGTGACTTTTATCAGACAATTTGCGGCCATTTTCCAACATGGTAACCGCTAAATCAAACAAGGACATGTGTGGGGTACAGAGAGCCATCAAGGAATATTATACAAATGTCATCAGTCAACAAAAATTAAAAAAAAATATAAGAGAAAATACACAGACGCACAACCAAGGCGAAACAGAAAACTCTCAAATAGAAAAAAAATAACATTATTGGATTTAGCCTCCCAGTTGGTCAACTGTAAATAACGCTTTGGTTGGATGCTATTATGTGAACGCCAAATAATGTAACGTTCGCTTCTGGAGTTGTCTTTTTGAGTTCTAGGCATGTTTGTTGGATGGTAAGAAATGATGCAAATCCAGTTGATTGCATGTGGGCGGTAAGAGTCCCTTTGCATGCCACAATCCCCTTATCCAATTAAATTGTTGATATCTCACAGACCTTGGGCACGTTTCCGTCTCTTATTCACCGACAATTCTGCTCTCTCTTGGGCTGTATTCCTTCCTGATTCTATTTATCTTATTTTTTTTTTATTTTTTGACATTTTTTTCAGCCTACAAACTGTCCACTTTTTTGTCCATTCATTAAATTTGTCCTATTTGATTCTTTCTATTCTTTTCTCTTTCTTTTGTTGATGGTTTTCCATTCTTTTTCATTCTCTTTTCCATTTTCTTCATTCTTCGTATTTATTCAGGTTTTTCTTCTCATTCATATTTCTTCAGTTCTTGATTCTTTCATATTTTAAATAACGTTTTGCCTTTTATCCACACATCTAAATCTTTTTTTCATATCTCCTCTATCTCGTTCCTTCGTTGAAATTATTCTTCTATGTCCTTTGAAGAAATAGAGGTTCAAGTGTCTCCACAACTTCCCTTTACAAGACTCTCTCCTCCCATTCCGCCATATTTTCACACAGGCTCATCAGGGATCCTCTGTAAGATTACCATCTATATGTCGTAGGTGTGTTGACATTGCATTCAGGATTTTTTCTTTCATGATTTTTTTCATTATCCTGAGTCTTTCATTATCTAGTTTCTTTCATTTCTTCTTCATATATTATATTTATTCTTTCTTTCATCTGGTTTAAAAAAGAATCCTTTCAGCTTGCACATATCTATCTATCTATCTATCTATCTATCTATCTATCTATCTATCTATCTATCTATAAGCTTGCACACATCTATCTATCTATCTATCTATCTATCTACCTATCTATCTATCTATCTATCAGGAATACAAAGGATTAATGTAATATATATATATATATATATATACATGTATATATATATATATATATATATATATATATATATATATATATATATATAGACAGACGGACAATTACACAGATTGATAGACAGAGACACATATGAATCACTGAGTTATAGACATATATGAACAGTGAGAGAGAAAAGAGAGAGAGAGAGAGAGATCTGATTTGAATTAAATATCCAGCGTCATATATATATATATATATATATATATATATATATATATATATATATATATATATATATATATATATATATCAATGACTTTAATATTATATAAAGATCCTTTAATAAACGGTCAAACTAAATAACTGGATGGCTCTCGGGTTCATGAAAGATGCACCCTTGTCCATATCTTCGGCATTGCAGACACTGTTCTTTCCCTTTCTCTTTCGTCTTTTAAATAGATCTTACTTTCCGTTTCATTTGTCTCTTTCCTCCTCCTCTTCGTCGTCTTTCAAATGCTACTCCGTTTTCCTTTAGCTGACATTAGTCAATCATTGTCCCTTCCTACGCTAAATATACAACACATTTCTTTCAATTTGTTCATCAATTCAAAAAATATTTATTTCGATATTCCCACTGATTCTTTACGTATTTCTTGCTTATTTGTTTTTTTGAGGACAAAAGCATTTCTTATTTGCCATCTGTTTTCATACATGCTATTTCCTTACAGGATTCGCTCATATATAATATATTCATATGAGAATTCTGCTTGTACAGAAGTCATTTATTTAGCGCGTTCGCTACACGTACCTAATACCTCATAAATAATATAGTATCCTGTTCTGATCCCGAGTAGTCTAGTATTCATCATAGAATAATTGTACGTGCCTCTCCCATCGTTAGTTCCTTACTTTGCATGACCGTTACACCTTGCCAATACCTCATATATAATGGATTATTCAGCTTTTTATTCGCGTGGAAATAATGGAAAATAGACACTACTTGGTTTCAATAAGAAAAAAGGAAGGAAGAATAATCTAAAGAAGGAAGAGAATATAGATGTGTTTAAAATCCCCTGCCAATAGCACATAAATAATAGAATTTTCCGTTTTGATTTCGTGGAAAAAAACAAGACATATCAAAGCCGGTACACGGTTTCAGTGAGAAAATACGCAAAGGAAGAAAGAATGGACGATGGAAGTGCTTACCGGCTGTTTAAGTGAAACGGAAAAAAAGTCGTCAACTTCAAATATGTTCATTTGTACCCACTTCTTAAAATAACGAAAAGCATTCCTATTTATGATTATTATTGCAATATATATTATTTAAATTTGTTATATTTAACAATGTGATAGGGAAAATACTACGGATATTTTATTGCTATAGAACACGCCATGAGCTTATTCACTGAATAATTAAGATTCATCAGAAATTGAAATAGGAAAATCGTGAAATTGTCACCGATTTTCTAGTACTTATAATTGTTATCGTAATATTTTGTGAAACTGGTGAAGTCATTAACGAAATGTTTTTCAAAATATATGAAATATTAATATATTTATCAACCTGCCTGCAATCCTGATTATCGCTGTTAATATGAAGAAAAGATCATGATTCGATAGCCAAACCTGGCGACTTTCAAAATAACTAGAGTTAATTAATTATCTATTATTTTGCCTATTCCAAAAAAAAATTAGGACTTGAGACCTTATTTACCAATCAACACTAATGGCCATAGATGGTGTAAATATCGGAAAATGATCTTGGGATTTAATAAGCAATACACATTTTTCATTATGATATACAACAGGGAAAATAAGTATTTCATCCCCTGCTGATTTTCTGAGTTTTCCACCTAACAAAAATAGGAATGGTCTATAATTTTCAGGGTAGGTCTCTCTTGAAAGTGAGAGAGAGAATGTTAAAAACTTTTTTAGAAAATCACATGATATGGATTTTTGAATATCTATTTATTTTTTATTGAAAAAAATAAGTATTTCTCCGGATAGCAAAGCATCACTCAGTATTTGGTGAGGAAACCCTTGTTCGCAAGCAAAGCCGCCAAACGTTTCATGTAAATGGTTACCATGATTTTACATATGCTAGGTGGATGACTTTGGCCAACTCCTTTTTACCGATCGTCTCCAGATCCTGAATGATTTTAGGTTGTCGTTGGGAAACTCGAAGCTTTCGCTCCCTCCACAGATTCTCTAAAAGACTCAGGTCCGGAGACTGTACTTCTTCTTGAGCCATTCTTCTGTTGAATTAGCCGTATGCTTTGGGTTATTTTCACGCCGGAACACCCATCCACGACCCATCTTCTGGCTGAAACAAGGAGGTTTCCCTAAAGATTTCCCCGTACTTGGCCACATCTTTCCCTCGACACGGTGTAGTCGTCTTGTCCCCTTAGCAGAAAAATAGCACCAAAACATAATGTTTCCACCACCATATTTAATGGTTGGGATAATGTTCTTGGGGACAAAGTTAGATTTTTTTCCTCCAAACACGGCGAGTCCAGTTGATGCCATAAAGGTCAATTTTAGTCACGTATGACTACAGCAATTTCTCCCAACCCTCCTCTGAATCATTCAGGTGCTCATTTGCAACCTTCTGACACGTCTGTACATGTGCCTTCTTGAGCTTGCGGGTGCTACATGATTTCAGTCTACTACGACGTGGTATGTTACTAAAGGTAATCTTGGTGACTGTGGTCCAAGTTGCCTTGAGATCATCAACATAGTTTTACCGCGTATTTCCCGGTTGTTTCCCCACGTTTCTCATCAACAGATTCACTCCACGTTGGGAGATCTTGCGTGGGGCTCCAGACCGATAGAGATAGATAGTCAATTGATGTTTCTTCAATTTTCTTATTATTGAACCAACAGTTGAGTCCTCATCTAGCAGCTTGCCAATCGTCATGTCGCCCATTCCAGTCTTGCGCAGATATACAATTTTATCCCGGATGTCCTTAGACAGTTCTTTCGCCTTGCCCATAGTGAAGTGATTAGATTCTGTTTCATTGAAGGATTATGTGAACTAGAGTATTTTATACAGGTAATGTATTGATTAAGAATAATAATTGAGTAATAGGACTAGACTATATACCTCCTGGGCACATAACCTGTATGCGGGGACTGAATCATTGCTGTTTGGTAGAGGGTGAAATATTTATTTTTTTCAATAAAAAGAAATAAATTTTCGAAATTGATATAACTCGATTTTTTAGATTTTTTTTTTTTAATATTCTGTCTCTCACTTTCAAGACGGACCTTCTCTGAAACTTATAGACCGTTCCTATTTTTGTAAGGTGGCGATGTCAGGAAATAAGCAGGGGATGAAATACTTATTTTATCCATTGTAACAAAGAGTTTCTATTTGATGGAAAATGAACTATTTTATATCTTTAGAGATTTATTTAAACTCAAATCATTTTGACATAGTGAAAAAGGAGTCAAAGCGCCTGAGGTAATTTTTCGCTTAATGTAGAAATATTTTAATGATGTTATATTTCTTGAAAAAAATCTCAAATTAACCATGCTATAGATAATTCTCGTAACGTTTGTCTGTCCTGTTTGATGCCTGATAATTAAATATCGATTTCCCACGTGAAAATACCTCAAAATATTTAGATAGGAAAAACAATATTTATAGGAAGAAATGGACGGTTTCATTTTTTTTTAAATAATTTCTAAAAAATTGTAGATATGTAAGATGAAGTATAAACAAACTTATTCTCAAAATCAATTTGGTTTTATCTATGATTCCAAAAACATAATAATTTTGGTTCCTAAGTGAGCACGATTTTGATGGCTCGGGACGCTTTTAAATCAAGCGTATATTTATACTATTTTCTGATTGCGTTCAAGGTCATTTAAATCAGCCTTCATATATATGATTTTGAGGTGATGCTGAAGTCAATATTCTGTGATGAGTATTATTTCAAAATCATTCATTGTAGAAATGAAAAAAAAATCATATTTTCATATAGAGAATTAGGTAATTTATTCCATTTTTACCTATAAAACAGTTCCGCTTCATAGTTTTAATGAAGCATATAATGTACAATGGTCATTCTTTATTACCTCCCCTTAATTCATAATACATCCGTCCCATTTTCGGATATTTCTTTATCTGAAATCTAATTTGTAAATGTCATTTACTTTTTCGCATCATCATTTTTATATCCCCTGTTCTTTTTATATGCCAATATCTTCAATTTACGAAATCTCGTTTCACGCTAAAATAATTTTGTTTGAAATCTCATTTCATGAGAAAATAAAGATGTTTGGAAATCATACGTCATTACTTGCATAACCAATGAGATTTGATCATATGTCAGGATATTCAACTTCATCGCTGCTTCCTTTTTGATAATTTCAAGAAAGAAACTACGACGGATAATGAGTTACTATGAAGAAAACAAACAAATGTAAAAAGTTCGATCCTCACTGAGAAACTCTGTAAGAAATTATTATTGAAATACTATATAATATAAATTAACCTATGTGACAGTGAATGCAGGAATGTT